TCACAGAAATAACCGAAACCAATTGCAGCAACTTCCTTAAGGCAAATTTTCCAAGATCTGCTTTATCAGAGGTTGAACATCTCTGGCCACATGCCCTAGCCTGCTTCTTGAGACGATATTGTGGCTCGGTTGACGGCGGGGTAAGGGTTAGGGTTAGGGTTAAGGTTGGCAAACTCTTGGCCAATTCCCCTTGCAAGACTCTGGGCGGGAAGGAGCTGGGAGGCCAAAGCTGGGAGGACGTCTTCCGCTTAGGGGTGAAGCAAGCAGTCTCGCAGCTCGGCTCTCCGCTGACGCGCAACGTTCACGATTGCGCTACTAGAACGCCCCTTGGGGAGGGAGCTGTGGCGAAGGTGTCAACAACCAGCGTTGCGCAGAGCTTTTGTGGGTTTGCTATTAACCCGTGTAAGCCTGTTCAAAGGCTTAGTATGGGTTATACCTTTATTTTCTCACTGGTTTCTGCATCCAGGCACCAGGCATTAGTGTCACCCTTCTGGGGTGCTTTAAGGGTTGTGGAAAAGGAGGGGGGCGGTCTGTGGAAGGTAGCTAGTCCGTGCTGAACAGGAGATTGCGGTGGCTAACGGTGAGCAGCCACGGCTGGGTATCCCGTCCGCCACGTCCCTCCTTTTTCTCTTTGCGGGACTTCACACAGAGTGCTGGTCTGCACTGGGTGGGGGGCGGGGGGTGCTAGGCATTCCACCCTGGAAGGGGGTCCCATTTCCTACCATGGGCCATCAGTTCAAAAGGACAGGAAATTATTTCCCAGGACAAAAACCAGGAACGGGCACAGACGAAGGACAAATTGGGCCACGGCAGGAAACTGCAGGCGCCAAAACCCACCCAGAGGACCTCCAGCCTGGAGTCCCCCCTCCCTGCATGCTGGACATCAGGCCCCTCATGCCCATCAGTGTTCTCTGCACTGCCAGCTTTGGGGCGCTTGAATGCCCCCACATCTGGGCTGGGAATCTTCTGGGCTTGATTGCCATGGGACCCCCCCCAGAACCCCTCCCATCCCCAAGCAGCAGCGACTCTTCTGTCTCCCTGGGGCCTCAGAGGAGGTTCTGCAGTGCTTCCCCTCCTGTCAGACGGTCCAGGGATCCTCCTGCTGATGCACGGTGGGCATGCGGGTCAGGTGCCATCTGGGCAGCTTGTCCCTGGGGGAACAGCAGGAACCCTAAGGCAAAGGAGTTCCAAGCCAGGGGTGGGTAGGAGTTCAGCGAAAGACGGTGCTGGGACAAGCCTTTTGGAGGACCCCAGGAGTGGGGGAAAGCCAAGGCCAAGGGGTGGCACCCTCCTCTGCTCCAGGGGCCCAGGGACAAAAGCCATGCCAGCTGGCTGGCTGGGGATCTGGGGAGCTTCAGGGTGCCAGAGCTCTGTGCTTGCTTTACCACAGACCCCATTTCAGCCTTTGCCTGTTTGTGATGAAGCCTCCTTTCAGATTGAGGCTCCTTGATTAAGGGCACTTGGCACCCCATCATTGTCGGAAGAGGATATTGGCATGTATATTTAAATCCATACTTAAATCCTGTTTGGGCTGCTTTCCCTCTGGAGGAAGCCGGCACATCAGGAGAGCCCCATGGCAGGGGCCCTGCCCTGCCGGGTGCGCCTTTTCCTCTGGCTGGAGATGGGGCCGGGCAGCCCTGGGCAAAACCCCCTGGCCTCAATCCAGACCTTTGGCCTCCCTGCCTCAAATCACAGCATCCAAACGGGGCTGATTTATTTCACCAGCTGTTTCAGGCCTCTGCATATGCCAGGGACCCTCCTGCTGGGCACTTTGTAGGAGAGGAGAGGACAGCTCGACTCAGGCCTTTGCTTCAGCCAATGACTTCAGCTGCAGTGAGGCTGACGCCAGGTTCCCCTTGAAAACCCACGCAACCCTCACCCCAGGATAGATCCCACAGAGCTCTGAGGCCACGTGGCTTGGAAAGGCCCCTTTCATTGCACTGAGGCACCACGTCCAGTTCCCTGGATGCTCCTCCCTGGTCCCGGAGAATGCAGATTGCAGACAAAGTCACTGGAACAGCAAGACTATATTTTGCAAGACCGCGCGGTAATTAAGACTCAGCACAGGAATCTCTGAAGGGCCTCCCTGCGAGCAAGAATCACAGATTTGGGAGGCTAACTTTGGAAAGGAAGAAGGGAAGCGTATGGAAGCGGACTGGCACTGCCTTCTTGGGGGACATGTTTTCAACGTATGAGTCTGGTCTACAGCTAGAGAATTTCCTGGTGGTCCCCCATCCAAGTTCTAACCCTGATTAGTTTCTGAGGTAAGGGTGGCAGCGAGCTGCGGTCTGCTGAGCCTCTTCCCCCTGCGCAAAACGCTTGGGGGATTTTGAGGGGAAGTAAGCAAGCCGTGTCTCCTTAGGACCAAATAAGAGGCCACCTTGATTTATTTCTTCATCCAATCGTACGCAGGCTCTCGGCAGCCATATTTTACACCAAAGAGCCAAATTCTCATCCAGGAGGCTCCTAGCAGACCCTCCCGCCCAGACATCCCTGCACAGGGGAGATCCACTGGTGAGGACGTGGTCCTGCTCAGAGCGCTCCGGTGGGGCTCCTCAAGGGCAGCCTCCGGGACCCGCCCGCCCTGGACCCACCCGCCAGCCCGGAGCAGCCCCCTCCCAGGCCGGGGGCTGGGCTGGGCCGAGTTGCATAAAGCGGCTCCCCGGTGGCGGGCGGGGCAGGACGCTCTGCAAACAGAGCCACTCTTTGAGCCTTGTTGACTGCGAGGATTTACAGGGCATCGCTCCGAGGCTGCCAAGTGACCTGTCACACGCCCCCGAGGGGCTGCCAGCCCACCAGCCACAGCGCGCAAGCGAGCACAGATGCCCACTCTGAGCCGCTCCCTGACTGGGTCGCCTTTCGAAAGGGAGGGGCAGGGCCCCTTGTCTCCCTCACCAGGGCCAGGCTGCAGCCACCCACTGCAGCCCCCCCCATCCTTTGCACGCACACAGGCGCACACGCACATGCCTCCCGCCCCCCTTTAACTAGGACAGCCCCCATTGTGCTGGTGGGGCTGGCAGAGAGTAACTCGGAGGCCCAGAAGGGAACCAGGCAACGCCTGGCACCTGCCCGAGATCAGCCCCTCGGGAACTGCACCTCCCCAGGCCTTGAATTAGCAGGGCTGCAGCTTATCCTTGGGGGCTCCTCCAGAGTAGCGTGCAGAGGGGCCTCCTTGCAGGTCTGAATCCCAAAGGCCCGTGCCCAGGGGTTTGCTTTATTGCTTCTGATCCTGCTTTCCTGCAAGACGAAGCAGAGTGTAAAAAAGTAGAAAAGTGAAAAAAAAAAGAATGAAACTTAAAAAAAAAAAAACACCGTTTAGAATACATGGAATAGGATGTCCTAGTTATACACAAAATAATGTCATAAATGGTGAAAAAGGCATGTATTTTGCAAGTTATCTTTTGCTCCCATTTCTGAAAGCCAAGAGAGGGGAGGCGGGCAATTGAGGTTCTGCAGGGGCCCCTCTCAACACCCAAGCAGGTGCCTCAGGACACCTGGCCTGAATTGCTGGTGGTGATAAGGGTGGGCCACCACAGGTTGAATTCCCCCAGAAAGACCACAGGATTATCTATAGGGAAGAGCAGTTAGCCACTTCATACCTGTACGGCAGTGTTTCTCAACCTTGGCCATTTAAGATGAGTGGACTTCAACTCCCAGAATTCCCCAGCCAGCCAGCCACCCTAACCCTAACCCTAACCCTAACCCTAACCCTAACCCTAACCCTAACCCTAACCCTAACCCTGCGTGGCTGGCTGGGGAATTCTGGGAGTTGAAGTCCACTCATCTTAAAGTGGCCAAGGTTGAGAAACACTGCCGTACAGTATGTGGCAATAGACTAGTCACCGCTAATTCTTGCCAAAACTGAAACTCAGCAACCGTGGCAGCTGGTGAACACTGCACGATTGTGCCAATGTCTGCCCTTGCCCTTGCCACCCCCGGAGGTCCAAGATCAACGACTGTGGCTAAGAGCGTAGCTCCTTCCTGCCCAGCAGCCGTGTCTGGTTTTCTGCAGACCGAGCGCCACTCCGTCTCTCAGGACTTCATTTCAGCCGATTCCCCTTCAGCAACTCACTTGGCAGGTGAGGAGGAGGACAGGGCTGGGAGCTATCTCCAGATGGACACTCCAGACCCCCAGGGGACATCTTCCCAGCCTTTGGTGTAAAAGCTAAAGCATGTGGGTGTCACCGTGAGGAGAAATCGCCCCAGCGCTGCTTTCTGGAGGCAAACTGGGAAGATGGGCCATACCGTGACAATACCTTACAGTATCTACCGTCGGATCCTGCTCAGAGCTCCTTTCCTGCACTCACACATGTCCCTACTCCCCGTTGTTCCTCCAGAGGCTTCTGGAAAGCCCACAAGCAGAAGTGAAACCAGATTTCCCCCTTGCTCTTGAGTCTGAACGTAGGAAAATCACCAAGGTCGTTCCAGGCCACCCTATAGCTCTTTTCTAAGCTGGACCCAAAAGGAGGACTAAATGACAGGATGGAGCAAGGATCTTCTCTTCCCTCCACTGGCCTGACGCGGGCATCAGGTGCCACAGAAGATCTTCTCGAGGCCGCCCTGCAAGATGAGGGTACATAGATGTGTACTCCCACCCTCCAGGAGTGCCCCGGTGCCCTCTCTGACCCCATGGGCATCTTCTCCATTGTGTGGGCACCACGTGTGGCCTTCCATTCTTCCTGCTATGTCACTGTCCTCTCTGATGCGCCCCACCCTAGAGCTCATTACAGGAAGCTGCCAGGATCCACTGACAGCAGCCATCCGTCAGAACTCATGGGAAACTCCTTGGAGCTTAGATGTGGCCGCAATGTCTCATGAAAGCTCTGCCTGGTTTCATCACATCACATCACAGCCCAGGGCCCATCCCCTGGGCTCCCAGGCACTGACCAGCCTCCCTGGAAAGACCAGGGGTTGCTGAGCATTGCACACACCAGAATGCTGCAGGAGCAACCAACTGCTGGTGCCCAGCAGGTGGAGCGGAATCTCCCTGGCACATCCTAATCGCCTCGGTCGGTTGGTCAGTTCAAGCCTGCTTTCGGAGCCCGCAGCTTCCTGGTTTGCATCGGGGGACCAGCCGTGACACCTGATCCCTTGCAATTGTGCAAGAGCAGAGAGTGCCGCTTGCTCACCCAGGTGCCCGTCTCCTCCTTCCCCTCCCCTCTGCCCTCCCTTCCCCTCTGCCAGCCACACCTGGGAGAGCTTAAAGCTTGGCCTGGGCCAGGCCGGATCCCACACCTTCCTTCAGGCAGAGCCACCATGATGCCCGGGAGCAGCCGCGGTCCCCTCCTCCTCTTCTCCCTGGTGGGGCTCCTCTCTACCTGTGCTCAGGAACCAGACACAGCTGGACGGAACACCACAGGTGAGTGGAAGGGCCGGCCCTGCCCTGCCCAGCCTCCCCGGGAGATGGAAGGAGGCCTCTTCTCCGGCCCTCCACAGCAGGCCTCCCGTGGCCGGGGTGGGCTGGGGATGGGATTCTACGGGGCACCTGGGTGGACAGAAGGCCCTCCTCCACTCCAGCCCTTCTGTTTGGCAGCAGTGGGGGGATGCCCCACAGCCCTGGCAGGGGTGCCCAGTCACCAGGTGGCGCCTGCGGGTCAGCTTCTCTCCTGGGCCTTTTCCAGCGGTTGCCGAGAAACCTGGCACCTGTCCCAAAGCAGAGTTGGAGCCGCCCAGTGGGAACTGCACAGAAGAATGCCAGACCGATGCCAGCTGCGAGGGGAGCCAGAAGTGCTGCCAGACAGGATGCAGAACTTCTTGCCAGATCCCAAACGGTACCCCCAATGGTTCTTGCCAGGCTCCAGCTGCTCTTCCTGGTTGAATTTGGTTACTAAATCAACCAAATTCTAGCTTTGCACAAGACGCTGAATCATAAGCTGGCAAATGGCCTGAACTGGTGCCATGTGCTCAGGCACACTCACTCACCCCTGAACACAGAAACCACCACGGGCGATGTGACTGCAGGGATGAGGTCTTGGCCTGGTCTGGGGAGGGAGGGCGGCCTCGCGCTCCGCCTGGGTGACGGCGTTCTCTGCGCTGGCCGGCTTAGATAACCACCCGCCTCCCCCAGCCCCGTCAGGATTCTGTGGCTCACGGATCCAGTCCCAGCCCTGCTTCTGTGCGCTTAACGGCACCTCCGAGCAGCTGGGTTTGCTGGCCTGCCCTCGTGGGGGCTGGGCACTGTGGGACCCTGTGGATCCGTCTGTCTCCAGGGCCTTCCGGGCAGCGCCTGCTCCCGGAGGCCTTTTTAAAGGGGGAGGGGGGTTGCCCTGAGCTGCCTGCTCGGGGCCTCTGGCGCTTCTCACGAGCCGAGCCGCTGGTTCAGAATGGCTCTGTTGGGATCTGAGCAAAGAGGGGGCCGAAAGGGGTCATTTGGGTCCCTTAGAGATCTCCTCCAGTGAAACAAAGTTGTAGGGCTTGATGAAGGATCAGATTTGTACTTGATGTACACTTGCATTTGTTGGCGGGGGGATATTCTCTACGAGTGCTCACTGTGGGCGGCAGAACTGGCATTCAACAAGGAGAAAGCGGGAGGCGTGAGCGACAATATTTATAAGTTTTACGGCAGTCAATAACTAGTCTAGCTTTATTTAATTATGGCTGGCAAGTTTATCCTGCTTTTTAGACAGTGGCCATATCCAGGTATCTCCCACCTCCTTTATGTACAAAAAGGTGGGCTTTGCCCTCCAGCTCACCAACTCAGAGGGGGGAGGGGAGGGGAGGGGAGG